AGACTGGACCCCCACAGCACCTCATCCTGAAGAGGAGGCAGCATGTCTAGCCAGTGTGTAACTGGGCAGAACATGAGTCCAAGGGAATGACTAGGAGCAATGTGAATGTGCAGAGCTTCTCTGAGGATGGGATGAAGGTTCTCAGTATGAGTCAGGTAAAATGTGATGTTTAGAGCAATGAGTGGGAACTGATGCGGCAGGAGCCTGACATCAAGCGCTAAGCAAACCAGCTGATAGGGGCAGGTGGGGAACTCCTTGCCTAAGAAGAGCCACAAAGGCAGGGGACAGGGCAGCCTTTACCTCCTGGAGTACATCATAGATGATATGTTGTGTCTGCAGTGCTATACACTGGGCAAGAATAGGAGGGTCCATTCAGTCCCATCATCCATATTCCAGAAGGCCACTGACTTTGGTGACACCAGCCAAGACAAGCCTCTGGGGGCCCTGAGGAACCTCCACCACTTGTGCCACAATAAAGGGGTTGTGCAAGAGGAGTTCAGGCAGGAGGTTTCCTCTCTCAGAGCAGATCTGGTAGCAGAGAGCAGCTTTCAGGAGCTGAAGAGATATAATCCTAGGGCTGGAAGAGACCTCAAGAGATCGAGTCCAGCCCCCTGCCCAAGGCAGGACCAATCCCAACTAAATCAACCCAGCCAGGGCTTTGTCAAGCCGAGACTTAAAAACCTCTAGGGATGGAGATTCCACCACTCCCTAGGTAACCCATTCCTGTACTTCACCACCCTCCTAGTGAAATAGATTTTCCTAATGTCCAACCTAGACCTCCCTCTCTCTAACTTGAGACCATTGCTCCTTCGCTCTGCCATCCGTCACTACTGAGAACAGCCTCTTTGGAACCTCCCTTCAGGAAGTTGAAAGCTGCTATCAAATCCCCCTCACTCTTCTCTTCTACGGACTAAATAAGCCCAAATCTCTCTGCCTCTCCTCATAGGTCATGTGCTCCAGCCCCCTAATCATTTTGGTTGCCCTCTGCTGGATCCTCTCCAAAGCGTCCACATCCTTCCTATAGTGGGGGCCGAGAGCTGGACACAGTACTCCAGATGTGGCCACACCAGAGCCGAATAAAGGGGAATAATCACTTCTCTAAATCTGCTGGCAGTGCTCCTCCTAATGCAATCTAATATGCCATTTGCCTTCTTAGCTACAAGTGCACACTGTTGACTCAAATCCAGCTTCTCATCCACTGTAATCCCCAGGTACTTTTCTGCAGAACTGCAGTTTAGCCATTCGGTCCCCAGCCTGTAACATGCTTGGGATTCTTCTGTCCCACGTGCAGGACTCTACACTTGTCCTTGTTGAACCTCATCAGATTTCTTTTGGCTCAATCCTCTAATTTGTCCAGGTCACTCTGGACTCTATCCCTGCTCTCCAACATATCTACCTTTCCCCCTACCTTAGTGTTATCCGCAAACTTGCTGAGAGTGTAATCCATCCCCTCATCCAGGTCATTAATAAAGATGTTGGACAAAACTGGTCCTAGAACCAATCCTTGGTGCACTCTGCTAGAAACCAATTGCCAACCTGACATCAAGCTGTTAATCGCTACTCATTGGGCTCAACAGTCTAGACAGCTTTCTGTCCACCTGACAGTCCATTTATCCAATCCATACTCCCTTAACTTGCTGGCAAGAATATTGTGGGAGACCGTATCAAAAGCTTTGCTAAAGTCAAGGTACATCACATCCACCAACTTATCCACAGAGCCAGTTACTTCATCATAGAAGTGAAATAGATTAGTCAGGCATGACTTACCCTTTGTGAATCCATGTAGATTATTCCTGATCACTTTCTCCTCTTCCAAGTGCTTGCAAATGGATTCCTTGAGGATCCCCTCTATGATTTTTCTGGGGACTGAGATAAGGCTGACTGATCTGTAGTTTCCTGGATTGTCCTTCTTCCCTTTTTTGAAGATGGGCACTACATTTGCCTTTTTCCAATCATCCGGGATCTCTCCCAGTCTCCTCGATTTTTTTTAAAGATAATGGCCAAACACTCTGTAGTGACATTTACCTCAATACCCTTGGATTCATTAAATCTGGGCCCATGGATTTGTGTATGTCTAGCTTTTCTAAATAGTTCTTAACCTGTTCTTTCTCTACCGAGGGCTGCCCACCTCCTTCCCATACTGCGTTACCTAGTGTAGTTAGTCTGGGAGCTGACCTTGTCTAAAGACAGAGGCAAAGAACGCATTAAGCACTTGAGCTTTTCTCACACTCTCTGTCATTAGGTTACCTCCCTCATCCAGTAAGGGCCCCACACCCTCCCTGATTACCCTTTTATTGCTAACATTTCTTGTTACCCTTCACATCCCTTGCTAGCTTCAATTCCAATTGTGCTTTCCCCTTCCTGATTACTCCCCTGCATTCTTAATAATGTATTTATACTCCTCCCTAATCATCTGTCCAAGTTTCCACTTCTTGTAGGCTTCCATTTTGTATTTAAGCTCACCAAGGATTTCCCTGGTAAGCGAATCTGGTCGCCTACCATGTTTGCTTTTTTTATTGCGCATCGGGATGGTTTCTTTCTGTGCCTTTAATAAGGCTTTTTGAAAATTCTGCCAGCTCTCATGGACTCTTTTCCCCTTCATGTTAGCATCCCAGGGAATCCTGCCCATCAGTTCTCTGAGGAAGTCAGTCTGCTTTTCTGAAGTCCAGGGTCTGTATTTTGCTACTTTCCTTTCTTTCTTTTGTCAGGATCCTGAAATCTACCATCTCATGATCACTGCTTCCCAGCTTGCCACCCACTTCTACTTCCCCCAGTAGTTCCTCCCTGTTTGTGAGCAGCAGGTCAAGCTGCACATGGCCCCTGGTTGGTTCATTCAGCACTTGTACCAAGAAGTTATTCCCAACATTCTCCAAAAACTTCCTGGATTGTCTGTGTACTGCTGTATTGGTCTCCCAACAGATGTCAGGGTGATTAAAGTCCCCCATGAGAACCAGGGCCTGTGATCTGGAAGCTTCTCTTAGTTGTC